AGGATATCACAATTCTGAACATCTGTGCCCCAAATACAAGAACGACTATATTCATAAATGAAACATTATTAAAACTTAAATCACACATCGATCTCAACACCTTAATAGTGCGAGACTTCAACACCCACTTTCACCAAGGGATAAATCATCTAGATAGAAGCCAAATAGGGAAATAAAGGCACTTACAGAGGTCCTAAATCAAATAGACCTAATAGATGTCTACAGAACTTTCCATCCAAACTCAAAAGAGTATACATTCTTTTCAGCACCACATAGAACCTTCTCCAAAATAGACTATATAGTTGGTCACAAAGCAAGCCTCAGCACATATAAGAAGGTCTAAATAATCCCCTGTATTCTGTCTGACCAACATAGACTAAAGCTGGACCTCAACAACAATGGAATTAGAAAAGAGCCTACAAGCACATGGAAACTGAACAACTTGCTGCTCAGTGACAGCTGGGTTAAGGAAGAAATAAAGAAATTAAAGACTTCCTAGAATTCAAAGAAAATTAAGGTAAAACATACCCTAATTTATGGGACACAATGAAAGCAGTGCTAAGAGGAAAATTCATAGCACTAAGTGCCTTCAAGAAGAAATTTGTGACATCTCATACAAGCAACTTAATGGCCCAACTGAAAGACCTAGAAAATGAAGAAGCAAATACACACAAGAGGAGAAGGCAGGTGGAAATACTCAAACTCAAGGCAGAAATCAACCAATTAGAAAAAAAGTATTAAAAAATCAATGAAACTAAGAGCTGGTTCTTTGAGAAAATCAACAAGATAGACAAAACTTTAGCCAACTAACTAAAAGGCAGAGAGAAACTATCCAAGTCAGCAAAATCAGAAATGAAAAGGGGGACATTACTACAGACACTGAGGAAATCCAATCATTAGGTCGTACTACAAAAGCCTATATGACACAAAAAACGAAAATGTAAAAGAAATGGACAATTTTCTTGATAGATTCCATCTACCAAAATTAAGTCAAGATCAGGTAGAAAGAGTGAATAGTCCTATATCCCCCAAAGAAATAGTATCAGTCATCAACAGTCTCCCTTCCAAAAAAAATCCCTGGGCCAGATAATTTCAGTGCAGAATTCTACCAGACCTTCAAAGAAGTGCTAACTCCAATTCTCTCCAAACTATTCCTCAAAATAGAAACAAAAGGAACATTACCAAACTCATTCTATGAAGTGACAGTCATCTTGATACCTAAACCACACAAAGACCCAACAAAAAAAGAGAACTTCAGACCTATCTCTCTTATGAACATTGATGTAAAATTACTCAATGAAATACTTGCAAATTGAATCCAAGAACACATCAAAGATATCATTCACCATGACCAAGTAAGATTCATCCCAGGCATACAAGGATGGTTCAACATACGGGAAATCCATCAGTGTAATCCAGCACATAAACACACTGAAGGAGAAAAACCACATTATCATCTCCTTAGATGATGAAAAAGCATTTGACAAAATCCAACACCCATTCATGTTTAAAGTGTTGGAGAGATCATGGATACAAGGCACATATCTAAACATAGTAAAGGCAATATACAGCAAGCCTATAGCTTACATCAAACTCAGTGGAGAGAAACTGAAATCAATCCCACTGAAATAAGGGACAAGGCAAGGCTGCCCACTCTCTCTATCTCTTCAACATAGTACTTGAAGTTCTAGCTAAGGCAATAAGACAACTAAAATAGATCAAGTGGATCCAAATTGGAAAGGAAGAGTTCAAAGTGTCACTATTCACAGATGATATGATCGTATACATGAGCGACCCTCAAAATTCAACGAGAGAACTCCTTTAGCTGATAAACACCTTCAACAAAGTGGCAGGATACAAAATCAACTAAAAAAAAAAAAAAAAAAAACAGATGCCCTCCTGTATACCAAGGACAAAAAAGGCCAAGAAAGAAATCAGGGAAACAACCCCTTTCACAATAGCCCCTATTTAACATAAAGTATCTTGGGGTGACTCTAACCAAGCAAGTGAAAGACGTGTTTGAAAAAAAAATTTAAGTCTCTGAAGAAAGAAATTGAAGAAGATATCAAAAGATGGAAAGATCTCCCGTGCTCATGGATTGGTAGGATTAACAGTGAAAATGGCCATCCTGCCAAAAGCAATCGACAGAGTCAACACAATACCAATCAAAGTACCAACTCAGTTCTTTACAGACCTTGAAAGAAAGATTCTCAGCTTCATATAGAGAAACAAACAAACAAACAAACAAACAAAAAAAAAAAAACCCAGAATCTCCAAAATGATCCTGTACAACAACAGATCATCTGGAGGTATCTCCATCCCTGAACTCATGCTGTACTACAGAGCAGTAGTAATAAAAACTGTGTGGTATTAGCATAGAAATAGAAAGGAGGATCAATGGAACTGAATAGAAGACCCAGAAATTAACCCACAAACCTCTGAATACTTGATTTTTGACAAAGAAACCAATACCATTCAATGGAAAAAAGACAGCATTTTCAACAAATGGTGCTGGTCCAACTGGATGTCTACATGCAGAAAAATGAAAATAGATTCATAATTATTACCCTGCACAAAACTAAAGTCTAAGTGCATCAAAGACTTAAATATAAAACCTAATCTAAATCGATTAGAAGAAAAAGTGGGGAAGAGCCTAGAACTTATTGGCACAGGAAACAGCTTCCTGAACAGAACACCAACAGCACAAGCTCTAGGAGCAAAAATCAGTAAATGGGACCTCATGAAACTGAAAAGCTTCTGTAAAGCAAAAGACACTGTCGTCAGAACAAAACGACAGCCTACAGACTGGGAAAGGATCCTCACCAACCCTATATCTCATAGAGGGCTGATATCCAGAATATATAAAGAACTAAAGAAGTTAAAAAGCAATAAATCAAATAATCCAATTAAAAAATGGGGTATGGAGCTAAACAGAGAATTCTCTGTAGAGGAATATAGAATGGCAGAGAAACACTTAAAGAGATGCTCAACATCCTTAGCCATCAGAGAGATGCAAATAAAAATGACCCTGAGATTTCACCTTACACCCATCAAAATGGCTAAAATCAAAAACTCAAATAACAACACACTCTGTAGAGGTTGTGGAGAAAGGGGAGCCCCCCTCCACTGCTGGTGGGAATGTAACCTGGTACAACCACTTTGGAAATCAATCTGGTGCTTTCTCACACAATTAGGAATAGTGCTTCCTCAAGACGCCACCATACCAGTCCTAGGCATATACCCAAAATTTGCTCAAGTATTCAACGAGGACCTTTGCTCAACCATGTCTGTAGCAGCTTTATTTGTAATAGCCAGAACCTGGAAACAACCCAGATGTCCATCAGCGGAGGAATGGATACAGAAATTGTATTTTTACACAATGGAATACTACTCAGCAATCAAAAACAAGGAAATCATGAAATTTGCAGGCAAGTGGTGGGATCTAGAAAAGATCATTCTGAGTGAGGTATCCCAGAAGGATAAAGACACACATGATCTATACTTACTTATATAAACCTATAAGATATGATAAACATAATGAAATCTATACACCTAAAGAACGTAAACAAGAAAGAAGACTCGAGGTGAGATGGTTAATCCTCACTTAGAAAGACAAGTGGGATGTCCATTGGATGTATGAGAAAACAAGTAACAGGATAGGAGCGTACTGCATAGAGTCTCTGAAAAGACTTTACCTAGTAGTCTATCAAAGCTGATACTAAGACTCATAACGGAACCTTCGGCAGAGTGCAGGAATCATATGAAAGAAGGGGGAGTAAGTATGACGTGGAGAGGATAAGAGCTCCACAATGACCAAATATATGTGGACACAAGGGTCTTTTATGAGACTGATACTCCAAGGACCATGTATAGATGTAACCTAGAACCTCTGCTCAGATGAAGCCTGTGGTAGCTTATTAACCAATTGGTTTTTCCCTAGTAAGGGGAACAAGGACTATTTCTAACAGGAACTCAATGGCAGGCTCTTTGACCTCCCCAGTCCCCAAGGAAGGAGCAGTCCTGCTAGGCCACAGAGGAGGACTTGCAGCCGGTCCTGAAGATACCTGATAAAACAGGGTCAGATGAAAGAGGAGGTCCTCCTCAATCAGTGGACTTGGAAAGGGGCAGGGAGGAAATGAGGGAGAAGGGGTAGGGTTGGGAGGGAATAAGGGAGTGGGATACAGCTGGGATACAGAGTTAATCAAATGTAAAATTAAAATTAAAATAATGCCAATTTCCAGGAGGTCTCATTAAGAGAGAGCTCAGAAAGGAAAGCTACAAAGTACAAATACAAATATCACTGGGATGTATCCTGAGAGGAGACAAGGATAGTATAGATGGTTAAGCATATTATGAAAACTGCTCAGTTCTTGTGCTGCAAAGCTTATTATTATTAAAAAAAAAAAAAAAAAAAAAAAACAACTAAAAATACTCAGGTGGTACTGATGTTTGTAGTCTATGGTGCTCAGCCATGTTTCATGGTAACAACAATGCTTAGTTGTGTTTATTAATAAGAAGGCCTCAAGGACATGAGCTAGGGCTGGAGAGATGGCTCAGCAATTAAGAAAAGTGATGCTTTTCCACAGGAACTTGAATTCAGTTTCCATCATCCATCTGGGGCATTTCAAAACCAACTGTAGCTACAGCTGCAAGGGCTATGTCACCTTCTTTCTTCTGGCTTATGTGGGTATCCACACACATTTAATTCAGTCACACACATAAATAAAAATAACTTATCTCTCATCTTTAGTTCACAGGGTTTCAAGAGCCTATGCTGGGCAGGAGAAATTTTTATCTCTTACAAATATATAGCAATGGATTTGTTTAATGAATTACTGGTAATCCTCTGTGCTAAATTGATTATTTTAATATGCCTGAATTTTAATCAGTTTTATACTGAGGGTATACTTGGTAGCAAACATGGACTAATTTCTTCAGCTTACATGAAGTAGAGATTAGGCTGCATTAAATTAATTATATTAATTTGTTCTATTTAATAGGATGAGAAGAAGAAACCGCAAAACTAGGAGATACGGAGTTTTGGATACTAACATAGAAAACATGGAATTGACACCTTTAGAACAAGATGATGAGGATGATGACAACACATTGTTTGATGCCAATCATCCTAGAAGGTAAGTTTGTACATTAGTTTAATGCAGTGTGTCAGGGTGCAAATCTTTGTCCAGACAATTGATGTATATTGTCATTCTGCTGTCTTTATTCTATCAGATTTTTATTGAGTTCTGTTTAATAAAGTTCTTTGCCTGCCCAAGCCATGGACCTCATTCACATAGTTTTGTTGAAATGGATATAAATAACAGCTTGAAATGAGCTTTCTTTTTGCAGAGTTCTTTGCAGTGTTTTGGGTTTGAAATGTTTCTTTCTTGAAGTATGAATTACCTTATCATTTGTTTGGTTGTGTTTGTTTTTGATAATTATTTAATAAACTTACTTTTAGTTTCACATTCTGAAATTATTTTGTAGTTTGGTTTATTTGATTTGCAAATAGTTCTCCCTGATAGAATTATAAGGCTGGAGGTTTGTTGCCTCATGATGAACTGTGATATTTATATACAAATGTGGTCTCAAAACATCAAAATCTTTCCTAAAGAGAATGGATAAACAAAATTACAAGGGTATATTATTAATATTAGTGCAAATGGAACGAGAAGAGGCAACAAGGGTTATAGCATGTAGCAAAGGTATGCTACGATAACAAAGCTTTTCTTCTGACAGAAATTAGAGTCTAGAATCATAAATCAGAGGACACAGAAGTCTTTCTTTTGCTTGATTAAATTTATCGTTTGACAGTTTCATACATGTATACAGTACATTCTGCTTCAGTAACTTCCCCCCTACCTTGTATGTCTCTCCTGAAGTTACCCCACTCTACTTTCTGCAAGTTCCTTTCCCACATTCATACCTTTTTGGTTTGGTTCAGGTACACTGAGCTTAACCTGAACTTTGTATGAACACGAGAATAAAACTGGAGTATGGTGGTCTCACACTTACTACCACTGCAAATGACTGGCTCTTCACCAGAATCCTTTAGTAGCAATAGCTTAACAGGGAGGAATCAGGCCCCAGTTCAAGATTAGCTGTTGATAAACCCATTTTTACAAAGGCCAGATGCAGATGACTCAAGCTGCTTTTTGCAATGGCTGGATCTTTCCCCGAAGACAGCATTTCATAGTCCTTCTGCCTATCTTCCAGCTGTTATATTCCTTGCACTCTTCTGAAATGTTTTCTGAGCCTTACAGATTTAAATGTCCCACTTAGGGTCAAGGTCTCAATTGCCACTTATTGTTAGTACCTTGAGCAGCCCTGACTCCACATTCATTGTCATTCTTTGCAAAGAGATGTGTCTATGATTAAGAATAAAAGTAATACGTATCTATGTTATCTTATATATTTACAATGCAAGTTGGTTCCATGTCAATTTATCTACACAACAGTAGTGAATCACCTACTGGGCCCTGTGTTCCTTGGCTCCTAGCTATGTGCCCTTTTTTTTTTTTTTTTTTGTTTTTACTATGTTTATAATACCAGGCATGTATTCCATCTTTGGAGAGACCAAAAAAAAAAAAAAAACCAGTCTAAACCCCAGGTTATCTTTGTAGCCATTGTGTTACTGTTGTACCAGTGGCCATATTCTACAGGTTGCCTTTTTGTATTGATGTAGAATTGAATAGCCTAACTTTTGTTACCTTTGTTTCAATCCCAAGAATTTTCTGTTGTTGGGATAAGGTGTCCTAAATGGCTAAATGCCATTGCTCCTAGAAGCTTTTATTTATTACATAAACTTTTCAGTGCCATAGATGGGATTCTTCTTTAAGAATTGATGGTAGAGAGTCCTAGCCATTTTATAGTACCTTGTAACGCTATGAAAGGTATTAAGCAGAAATCATATGGCTCAGTTCTAGCTTAATTTCTCTCTATCATGGATGTTAATAGATGTTTTTTTTTCAGCTATGGATATTATCTTCATCTGGTTCTGATGGGCAAATGAGGAATGTTAAGAGCCTGTATTGTTGTGTAAGGCTAGTTTTATTGGCTGTCTCTTTTTAAAGATTTGGTCAGCTAAATTTAATTGCTTGCATTTAAAAGTCAATGTGTGTAATTTGTACTTATCTTTATAATACAACCAAAAAATAAATATATGAAGCAGCATTGAGAAAAATGGCTCACTGAGTAAATAGAAGACGATCTTGGGCTGCATGTGAAAATGCTAACTAAAACAATGGCATTAGAATCCAATTTACTTGACAAAATTATTATTATATTTTGAAATCATATTTAAGTATGCTAGATACACATGAGATATTTATATATACATTCACAAAAAGGAAGGACATAAAATGAAATTAACAGTTCATGATTATCTCCAAAGAAAAATTCAATTGAAACATCAGTTCATCTGTTTGAGTAGGTTGTAGTTTGAATGTGAAGTATTCTTCATACACTCGAGTTTGAGCACTTGGTTTCAGCTGGTGGCATTGCTTTCTCAAACTATTAGAACCATTAGCCAGTAGAGACTTGCTAAAAAATTAGAATGCTGTCAGTGGGGCTTACCAGTTCAATACCTAGTCCCAGGTCTTGCCAGCAACAGTGTGAACAGCACCTCACACTCCTTCCTATTGCCATACTTCCCCATCATGATGAAATGTGCCCTTCAGACTGTAAGCCAAGGGAAACTCTTACCTCCCGTAAAGGTAACAAATACAGGAGTTCATCAAAGACAAGTTTGCAGCAGGCAGAAATAACTAACTAAAGTTTAATTGTTGTGAAGGTGAAGCTTCAGAAATAAAAGGAAAAGTTCATGAGACTATTATGTATAATTATATGCCATCAAGTTTAACCAAGAAAAAGAAATGGACATATTTCTAGACACCTACCTGGTGTACTTTTTGTTGAGGAAGACCACCTCTCCTACTCCAGCTTTTCTCAGTTACCTGTAGTTTTGTGTAGGGTTGAGGCCTCATGGTCTTTTCTTTGTCCAGTTTCCATGTTCACTGGTATCATCCTTATTCAGCTCACAGTTGGGCAGTTATGTTAGTGAGACTTGATGGTGTAGCTTCTGATACCAGTAGGAAAGAAATCCTCACAGCAAACACCTGACCTGACATAGAAGTTATTATGGACCATCAAGTATGAAGCCAGTTTTATTGTGAAGAATTAGGGATGACTATGCAGTATCCCAGTGATCAGAGCAAACTGAATGCAATCATTTTGTTATAGAATCAGTGTTTGACATCTGCTATATACCCAGGTACTGTAGCAACGTCTGGCTGTATAGGATGAACAGAGATAGACAAATTACCCAGTTTAGTAGTCTGTTAGATAAACCTAGGGCTAACAAGTCAGAACAAAAGAAACTAAAATAGTAAACTTGGGATTTCACATTTTTATTAATTAAGTTACCAAAATTAATGGTAATGTACTTTTGGAGGCAAGGCACATGTTCAATCTTAAAATGGGAAACAAAGATGGATAGTTAGAGACACAAAGTGGTAAAATGCAGTTCAATTGTTTCTGTGTTCTTCCTTTATTCTCTGCATTTGTGTGCACGTGTGTGTGTTGATGTAGATTAAATCCAGAGTCTAGTATATTTATGCTATAGAAGCACCTCTGAACTGCATCCTCAGCTCTGCATTGTGTTTTTATACATTTGTGTTTCTTTGTTGGTTGGCAGAATTTATGACTGGGAACATCTAGGGAGTGGAGTATTTTTCTTTAAGAAGACTAATAACGTCAAGCTTGTAGTAGACACACATATACATAAATACATACATACATGCAAAAAATGTAGGTTTATTAGTTTGGTATATAATACACATTAGAAAAATGCTAGCACTGTACAAAATTCCATTTGTTAATAAAAGTCCCGTCTTTAATGGTATTTGACATAATATTAAAGAACCTACAAGCAGTGTTTACTCTTCTTTATTACTTTATCTTTTGTTGGATGTCTGCCCATTTTAGTCTTTCTTCTTCTATTTCTTATTGTTCCGTTTGTGTTTGATCCATTCTTTAGACCAAGCTGCCTAGTAGCTCTATTCATCTCTTTAAAGACATGGATTAATGAAGTAGAAGATCTGAGAAATGTAGCATTCTCCTTCCTGTTCCAGTTATTAAAAACAACTGTATTCAGTGGTGAAGACTGCTAGGAATGTGCAGCAGTGATGGAGCAGGCCTCAGAGCAGAGGCTGGTGAATGACAGCTGTGCTCTGTGCTGCACGGATTATATTCATCACATACTGTGCCATGAAAAGGAAATTAAATCAGCCATCAAAGAAGTGACATAAAGCCGTTGAAGTTTGGAATTTGTTACGTTGTAGAGAGGATCAGTCCTTTATGACTGGCTTATTTCTGATCTTTGTTTTGTTTTTTCCTTAGAACTATTGAAAATTTGAAAGATGCTATCTTTTTTCCATTGTATGGTTTGGGCATCTTTGTCAAAGATCAGGTGTCCATAAGTGTGTGGGTTTATTTCTGGGTCTTCTGTTTGGTTCCATTGATCCACCTGTCTGTTTCTATGCCAGCACCATGCAGTTTTTATTACTGTTGCTCTATAGTACAGTTTAAGATCAGGGAGGGAGATACCTCAAGAAGATCTTTTATTGTAGAGGATTGTTTTAGCAATTCTAGGTTTCTTGTTATTCCAGATGAAGTTGAGAATTTTTCTTTCCAGTTCTGTAAAGAATTGTGTTGGTAATTTGATGTGAATTGCATTGAATCTGTAGATTGCTGTTAGTAAGATGGCCATTTTTACTATGTTAATCCTGTCAAGCCATGAGCATGGGAGATCTTTCCATCTTCTGATATCTTCTTCTAATTCTTTCTTCAGAGACTTGAAATTTTTTTTCATACAAGTCTTTGACTTGTTTGGGTAGGATTACTCCAAGGTACTTTATGTCATTTGTGGCTATTGTGAAGGGGTTTGAAAGAAGTACTATAAAATGATACCCAACATAGCTCAATAGTAGCATGTTTACTAAGTGTGTGGGAGTGGATGGGGAATTCAGAGCATGGTCCCCATTATTAATATATGTGGACTAACCCCGACCTCAAAATTCCTTACTGAGCTTTCTTAGTAACATAAATTATTCAGAATGATGTCATAATCAAAGTAAGTCTACCAAGCATGATTTAAGTTAGGTACTTTCAGGAAGCATTTTCTTTAAATAAGTCATTTACCTCATTCTGAATTTCATGGAATGTTCTAAGTACATAGATAAGAAAGACATATGAGTACTGCCTGAAATTAAGTCACATCATTACTACAATAACTTTGCAAGCAGCCTGTGGCTTTATTTTTAATCCCTTTGCTTCTTTTATAATTCTTCACTCATATTTCATTCTTGTGTTTGCCTTTTTTAATGTAAAGCTTTTATTCTTTTTAATGTTTTATTTTGTTTTTTAGGTTATAATATAATTATACCATTTCTCTTTTCTCTGTACTACCACTAAATCTTTTCATATACAGCACCTTGCTCTCTTTCAAATTCATGGCTTTTTGCTATTTATTGTTATTACATTCATATGTGTATATATGAATACACACACTCATAAAAACCATATATACACCCTGCTCAGTCTATATAATATTACTTGTATATGTGTTTTCAGGGCTGACCACTTGGTTTTGAATAACCAGTTGATGTGTTCTTCCCTTTGGAAGGCTATTTCTTTGACTCTTAGCATTCCACGGTTGCTTGTAATTTTTTTTTTTTTAATGGTTGAGGCCTTGTAGTCTTTTCCTTCCTAGTTTGGCATGCCTGTTCATGTTGTCTTGTTCAGCTCATCTTAAGTAGTTATGTTGCTGGGAATTTGTAGATGCAGCTTTTGACATTTCTAGTTGACACAGTCTGACAGCAGATATCTTAATCCTCTGACTCTCATAACCCTTACACCACTTCAGCAGAAATTGAGAGTTATAGAATATGTGTGTGTGTGTGTGTGTGTGTGTGTGTGTGTGTGTGTGTGTGTGT